TATTAGTATCAGATGTAAAGAGTTTTTGAGGCAGAATCTGAGATTATTTAATGTATTACTTCGATATTATTGAAAATAACCTAAAGTTTTTGGTTTTCATACGTACAGATTGCTGATTGAGTGAATCAGTTTGAAAGAACAACTCGATGGTTCCTGTGTAAATTTGGTACGTTAACGTTTGATTTATTATTTCATTCACATTATCTTATTTCTTTAACATTATTATCTCATATTATTTCATTTATATTATCTTATATTATCTTATATTTATATTATCTTATATTTGATCATTGACTTTACCTGAAGGTTGACATCGAGGAACTATAGGGGATGTCCAAGGTACCACGAAGGATGTCGAAGGACATCATGGGACATCAAGAAACATCGAGTGACTTTGAATGTATGAATGTATATAATGTATGTAATGTATTTATAATTCGCAACTGTATGTACAATTGTACCATTATTGTGTAACACTATCGATCTTATGGTCTTACATTATTCTACGCAATGCGGGGTTCATGGTAAACACCATTTTTTTGTATACAGATATCATTTAATATTATGTATAGGACATATGGTTAACAATAAGATCTGCTGTATGGATAACGTCAGAGTTTAACGGCTGGTTGGGTGAGTAAGTGACACGAGTGCCATGAAGAATATTATATCTGGGAGAATGTTTTGAATTGCATATCTTCAGCACAGGGGAAGTATAAATACGTATACCTGATTTATGCCTTCATATTCCGATAGAAATGAAATTTGAAGGTTGTGAGAAGTGAAACTGCAAAGAAATAAAATCTTGACTTGTAGAATTTTCTGTTTAGAAAGTAGATCCCTCAATTTTGCGAAATCTATTATATATATGATATAAGAACAAGCAATTGACATTAGGCCCCATGCAAACAACCGATTTACTGCAAATCATCGCAATAGCGATTCTTTTGAAAGAACAGAGATATAATATTCTCTTATCTTTCTTTTTAGTTTGCTTTTCTGTTCTTCCAAAGCACTGCCGTTTTTAATCCCTCATCCACGCACCAGTCTAATTCGAGCGTCTAGATTAAACAAAGGCATACATAAATGCAACTCTCAAAAAGTTCCACTATATCTATATATGTGTATTCATCTCCTGTCAATAATGCCGATCGGTAACATTGTCACCATGTAATTCTTATCTAATTTTTATACCAGTTTCTGTCTTTCGTTGACTTTTATATGTTAAGTATCGTAAAATTATCTTGCAAACAGTTAAGTTTTCGAGTTCAGGAAACATATCAACGAGAGGAACAGATCAATTTGAATAATATTCTTAGTTTGTACTGAGATTTAACTAATTGGACCGTAATTCCGCTTCGGAGATGAATCACGTGATATTTAAAAAGACTATAGAGAATCGGCCAGGACCTCAAATATAAAATTTTAGCTTCGGTTAATTTTTGAAATATTACACAATTAAAAAATTAAATTCTGCATATTATAATATTATAAACATTACTAGTGTATAGACTAATGTAATGTTTAAAATTCAAGAAATCCTGACATTTTGTTGTCTAATTCTAATGATCACAGTTTAATAGAATGGCGAGCTTCCAAGTTTCGCAGTCAGTGTGCCAAATTGAGGTTCGAGCATTTAGAGACGAATAGTCTAACGCTACCCCCAACGACACAGTGGGGTTCTGCAGAACCGCTAAGTCGGATTACCAAGGAAGCTAGACTACGAGAATCTCACCTCATCCTTTCGGACGTGGCAGTTCCCGATTCGGCACACTGGCTACAAAACTTGGAGACCCAGTTCTAGTGCAACGAACAAACTACCAATAGTAACAACGAAGGAAAGAAGAGAGGAGATGAGGGATTCCTAATTTTGTCCCAAGTTCAGTAGACGTGTCTTTGTACAGAATGCGCTCACAATGAATTTACAAAGATTAATTAAA